CATTTGAGATACAAGCATGTACGGTCATGAAGCAATAGCCAAAGGTAAAAAGCACGAGCTCGGCAGCAGGATGCTGGGTGCAGACTATAGCTCTGGGACTCAGCAGCCGCAGGGACTGCGGGAAGCTCCCGATCTCCCTGCGCCTCCCCATCCTCAGTTGGAAATGGAAGCAGTAAGAAAATCTACTATGAGATCATTGTGAGGAGTAAATGAGTCAATACCTGTAAAACAGTGATGTCAAGAGTTAAGTTCTCAGTATTAGTTTTTATATGTAATTTTTAAAGCAACAGGAAATAGTCTGGCAATGGAATAATATTGTCACTTATAAGCCATGGTTACAGACATTTCTCATTAAAGCCTCCTCACAAGGTATCATAATTATCCCGTTTTATGGAAACTGGTTTGGTAGTTTAGTGATTTGCCCAAGATTTCACAGCTAGTCAATTGTGGGGCCATAAATACACGTCAGCAAGCTTTGTTCTACCGAACCACATGGCCTCTTAGAGAGCAACTTCAGGATTCTAGAAAAACAAAGCTCAAGGCCAGTTCCTTTTAGCTTGTTTCCCCAGAAGCCCAGGCCATTTTCTTACTGGTTTCTCAGTTTTCACTGGTCACCATTTAACTGCCCCTTGGTCAGAAACAAAGGAAGGGGGCCTGCTGAGTGTCCTCGCCAGAGGCCAGACTGGGGGCTGCAGGCCCGGGGGGGGCGTCAAGGAAGGGGCATGCTCATCAGTAAATAGCAGAGGGACTGCTGTACACTTAGGAGACGTGAAAACCAAGTGCAGTGTGTGGATCTTATTTTGATCTTGATTCAAGCAAGGCAACTATTAAAAACAAACAAACATTTTGGAGACAACTGGAAAAAAACTGAATATGAACCGGATACTAATGGCTATCATGAAATCTCTGTTCATTTGTTAAGTATGATATTGACATGGTGATTATGTTAAAAAAAAAATCTATCAACCCACACAAATCTGCCCCCCCAACACACAAAAAACTAAGTCTTGACAAAGATACAAATGTAATTCAATGAAGGAAGAGTAGCTTTCAATAAAAGCTGCTGGATCAACTGGACAGTTACAGACAAAATAACGAACTAAATCTCACATCTTCTATAAAAATATACTCAAAATAGATCAAGGACTAAAATGTAAAACATAAATTTATAAAAATGTTACCAAAAAAAAAAAACCAGGAAAAGATTTTCAGGAGCTAGGGCTTGGTGAACAGTTTTAGACCCAACACTAAAAATACCCATAAAAGAAAACACTGATAAATTGGTCTTCAAAATTAAAAGCTTTTTGGTCTGCAGAAGATCCTGTGGGGAGGACACAAGGACAAGCTGTGGAGTGGGAAAGTGTGTGCAAATTGCACACCTGACAGTTCTCGTATCTAGAGTAAAGAAATTTCAAAACAAAGAAGCAACCCAATGAGAAAATATGCAAAAGACTCAACTGGATTCCACCAGATAGCAAATAAACACATCTAGCCATTAGAAAAATACAAATTAAGGTCACAATGAGATATTATTACACCCCTGTCAGTAGGGCTAAAGCAACATAAAATAATACCACCAAATATTGGTGAAAATGTGGAGAAACTGGATCACTCATATACTGCTAATAGGAATGCAGAATGGTACAGCTACAGGGGCGCCTGGGCAGCTCAGTCGTTAAGTGTCTGCCTTCGGCTCAGGTCGTGATCCCAGGGTCCTGGGATCGAGCCCCGCATCGGGCTCCCTGCTCCATGGGAAGCCTGCTTCTCCCTCTCCCACTCCCCCTGCTTGTGTTCCCTCTCTCGCTGTCTCTGTCAAATAAATAAAATCTTAAAAAAAAAAAAAAGAATGGTACAGCTACTCTGGGAGAGTTTCAGTTCCTTTTAACATTAAACATGCAGTTACCACAGGACCCAGTAATCACATTCTTGGATATTAATTGCAGAGAAGTGAAACTTATGTTTACATAAAAACCTATACACAAATGTGTATAGCCGCTTTATTCATAAGAGGCCAAAACTGAAAAACAGCCTCGATGTTCCTCAAAGTGTGAATGGTTACACATACTGTGTGGTACATCCATACCATGAAGTATGACTCAGCAAAAAAAACCCCAAAGGAACTACCGATACACACAACCCAGAGGGCTCTTACTCATGCTGAGTGAAAAAAGCCAACCTTGAAAGGTTATAACTTTATGATTCCATTTAATATTAACAATCCTTTTTTTATAGTAAATTCTATGCCTAACGTGGGGCTCGAACTCAAAACCCCTTAATCAAGAGTTGCATGCTCTACCAACTGAGCCAGCCAGGAGCCCCCATTTGTATTAATAATCTTTATTTATTTTTTAGAGATTTTAATTGAGAGAGAGAGAGAGAGAGAGAGAAAAAACACGAGCCGGGGGGTGGGGCAGAAGGAGAGGGAGAAGCAGACTCCCCCTCTGAGCAGGGAGCCTGACAGAGGCTTGATCCCAGGACTCTGAGATCATGACCTGAGCCAAAGGCAGCCACTTAACTGCACCCCAACAATCTTTGAATACAATTATAAAGATGGAGAACAGAAGAACAGAAGAGCGGCCGCCAGGGGTTAGGGATGGGGAGAGGTGGATGTGGTTATGGAGAAACTGCATGAGGGAGGTGGTGGCGGTGATGGAAATGTTCTGTATCTTGATTGTGGCGGTCGTTACATGAATCCACGTGTAACCAAACCGCACAGAACTGCTCACACACAGAGGACAAGGTGAAATCCGAATAGGCTCTGTGGGTTGTACTGAGGCCAGTCTCCTGGGTCTGATACTGCACCTGTTACACAAGATGCTACCGATGGGGGAAACTGGGCCAAGGGTACGTGGGACATTTCTTTCCAACATCCTGTGAATCTATAATTTCAAAATTAGAAAAAAAAAGGTCTATCAGAGAGAGATGTGTGATGACCTATTTACAGATTAAATGACACAGGTCTTGTGTTTACTTTAAAACCCTAGGAAGAGGGGCACGTGGCTGGCTTAGCTGGTTAAGCGTCCTCCGACTCTCCATTTCAGATCAGGTTGTGATCTCACGGTCATGATCTCAGTGAGATTGAGCCCCCGCATCCGCTCCTCGCTCAGCGGGGAGTCTGCTGGTCCCTTTGCCTCCCCCTCTGCCCCTCCCCTGCTCTTGCTCTCTCAAATAAATAAAATCTTAGGGAAAAAAAAAAAAACCTCCAGGAAGAAAAAATAAAGGAAAAAAAAGGTGGGAGACATCAATGAAACAGAATTGAAAAGATACTGCTTAGTGTTGAAGCTGGGTGAAGGATATACAGGGAAAGCATATATACTTTCCTCATTCTGTGTTTGAAAATTTCCAAAGTAGAAAGTTTTATATAGTTCCCAGGGGTAATTAGTCCAATAGAAGGACTAAACCTTATCTGTCTACAGTCTTACTCCTTGCTGTAACTTCTGAATACAAATTAAGTTCAAAGTATATCATTCTGTTTCATTTGCAAAGCTTTTATTATGACCTTTAATTAAGAGCTCATAAATCACGTCCTTAATCTGGCTCTGTTTACTACGTTTTCCCTCCAAGAAGTCTCCCAAAGTTATAAAAAATAGAAATTTATAAATATACATTGAGAATTATGCACACTTTTTACACATCAATGGTCGGGTCAGTGTTTCAAGCTGTCTAATCATCTTCCAGGGCCTCACATCCAGAATTACGGCCTCCAATCTCAACAGAAGTAGCAACTCTTTCCCAAACCCGTCTCCTCTTCCCTCGGATTTGTGGCATGGGGCAGGTGCTGGTTTTGGACAGTAACGGCGAAAGAGGAAGTGCAGAAATGCTGACAGGGGTGGCTGCCCCGAGAGTGGAGAATAGCAAGCCGGCAAGGTCTCAGCCCTGCACCTGCCAGAGCTCAAACCCGGGCCTGTAAACTCAAACGGCCAAGAATTGCCACGAGCCGAATCACAAACTCAGCAAAGGCCCACTCTAACTGCTGTCCAGTCGAAGAGTTTCAGGCCACTGCAAACCTGAATGCTTATTTGGTCCAGAGTGGGGGAACCCAAGTATCTCCCTGGCATGCCATCTTCAGTGACTGACAAGCAGCTCCTTTGCCTCCAGGCAATGGGATGGAGGGCTTAGGGCAAGAGTGAGGCCGGAGGAATGTGGAACCTGCCTTCCAGTTCTTCAAGTTTTCAAATTCACCTAGAGCATGGAAGATGAGGAGAGGACTCTGGAAGTAGAGCATCGGAAAAGTTCGATACAGACCTTAGGACGCTAACCCAGGGAACAACTTGTTTATCCTGTGTTAACTTCCAGGTGTTGCTGGCATTTTTCTTCTTTGGACTTGGGTTTTTAAATCTCTTCCTTTGGAGGCCAGCCAAAGGCTATCAGCTTGCCCAGTATCTTCCTTAACACTTGGTTTGTTTTGGTTTTGGTTTTGGTTTGTAGGGTACATCAAGGACGAAGTCCTCTCTCCCCAGAAAGAAAAGAGGTTGATCAGATTCAGACCTGCTTCTGGAAGACTACCCTGGCTTGGCCTGCAGGCTCCTCTCAGCCCACTTCCACCATAAGGTGGGACCACAGCCTTTGGTCCACGCCAGCCTTCCAGCAGACCAGCCAGGCCCATCCCTCATAATCTACCCCCACCCCCAACCCCACCATCAAATCCTTTTCCTGTTGTTTATAATCGGTGATTCCTCTACAAGTCACAGAATAATATATCCACTGATTAGGGCTCTTGTCAGAGAAAACCTCTTTTCCCAGGATGGAGCGGAACTTAGTGGGTAGTCCCCAAGCACACATCCCACAGAAGGACAGCCAGTGACCAATCTCCCAGGAGAGAGGGCTGCCCTTATGCATCACTCTAACTCCTGTGTGTGTGACTTATCTGCGCATGCCTGGTCTTCCAGGATTCAAAGGAATCAAGTTCTGTGACAATAACTGAAGTCACTCAGGTGGATTCAGAAAGTCTGATCATTACCATCATGTCTTCCTCCACCCAAATATCCAGTGAAAATAGGTGGTCTTAATACTGAGTTTGCTATTAAAATCATGCCCAGTCACACCAGCTGCCTTGGCTTGACCTTCAGGAGGCCACCCTCTCTTCTTCCCTCCAGTGGCTTTAACTGCCCCAGGAGAGTGGTGTCCGCATCTCTGTACAAGGCAGGCTTCCTTCTTGGCTCATGAGAGGGACCTAGAAAGAAGAGGAATCCATGGAGCCTGCCTGGTGGGGGACCCACCTGCTCTCCTTCTAAGGGGGACAGCTCTAGGGCTGTGAGGGCTGGTCCCCGGGCTGCAAGATGCTCGACCTCTTTGCAACAAGAGGAACATATGGGGGATGAGTGAGGAGAGGAAAAGGGAAAAGATTTCCTTTCCCTAGGTTCAGACCCACTGGGGAGCCTCTCTTTTCTGCCAGGGAGCAGAGAAGACCACCTCGGTTGGCCAGAGAAGCCTCTCTGCACCCTAGCCTCCAACTCACTTCTTCCTGCGAATCTTGGGTTTCTTCACAGGCCGCAGATAGGGGTTATCGATGACGTTCTCCTCCCCGTTCCGGCTGCCCGACAAGGAGGGGTTCTGCTGCAGGACAGAGGTGTTCTCCTTCTCGGCTCCAGAATCATCCTTTGAGCAAAAGCCGAAATAAAGCAAAATACCAATGGCATAAGGAAAGAGATCATGTCCATAATAAGAACTACTATTAGCATCCCTTTCATCAAGAAATAAGAAGCCCAGGGACTATCTGGTACCTATCTGTAGTGTACCTATCTCTGCCCTGGAGAAATAAGGCCCAGGCAGGGGCTGGCTAGCAAAGGAAGAGGAGACCAACAGCTTGGACACGGGGCAGCACAGAAAACAAAACTCTGAACCTCTCGAGAAGGCAAGGACATGAGTTAGAACAGAGGCCTGGCAGGGGCAGGGAGTCAGATGCAAACATCTGGATGCTCAAGGAGGAAACCCGGCCTGTGTGGAGATAGAGAAAAAGAGAAGTGACCCGAGATGCTGTGCAGGACATCTGCAGGGCCAGAACAAATCATGTGCACAGTGCATCTCCTGGACCAAACTGAATGCAAATCAAATCACTTTCCTCCAGATTCTCAAATATCTGGTACCTGCAACAGGTACCAAGGATCACACTGCAGCAGCGGCCAAACATTTCTTGAGCCCTAAGGGTTCCTGCCAAGGCAAAGAGAGCATGCAGGCGCCAACACGGGAACGTCAACGATAATCCCCATCTGTGACCTGTGGGTCAGCTCTTTCACTGTTTGCTTTGAGCAAAGTGATTTGGGAGAAGAGTTTATAGGTTTACAATATATTCAACATGATCTCAATTAAAACATTTTTTAATCATAATGTGTGTAGACATATTGAAAGTAGGTTGAAGCATTATAAACTGGTTCTGGGAATATGGGTGATTGAGTCTCCTTTCCTTATTTATGCTCTCTTCTGTTTTCCAAGTTCTTTAAAATGAGCACAAGCTGCAGGGGAATGGGGAGAAAAATCACACCGAGGACTTGACCTAGAGGCTCAGGCCTGAGGGACTAGAAGTGACCAGAAGAAGCCCGTTGGGCTGCGCCCCCTGGTGACGGGCCAAGGCTCCTGTCACTGAGATTCCTGTTCCGTAATTGAGACAAAAGAGGACCTGACCTCAACCAGGAGGCTGTTGTCAAAAGACAGCAGGGCAGAGGATGCTGTGACTGGATGACAGGAACAGCAGGCTGAGGACAGGGACCCCAGTCTTAGGCTCAGTGAGCCTGAAGAAACTGGCTTACTTCTAGCTTCTGCTGCCCACCCCTCCCTGCCCCACCAATTCTGCTCTCCCCCAAAACCCAGCTCCATCCAGGGTCCCCGTGCTTTCCCTCTCCCACACCCGATCCAGTGGGACCACAAAGTGACCTAGAGACGTTGTAGACCTTCTGGAGGCTCTCTTGAAAGGGAGTGCCTGCCCCCAGGCCAACCTAGCTCATGCCAGACCCAGGGTCTGACCATGACCAAACCTGCCTGGGATATTTGGCGCCCAATCTTTCTGAAGTTGTTAATAGCTTGGTTCAGTAACTCAGCCCCTACTTCCCTGCTGTCCTTTCTCTACCGGACACGCCCTGTCTTAAAGTGGCTGTAAGTTCACTTCAACCATGCCTTAAGTGTTTCCTGAGACAATAAGGATGGGAGGGACAGTCAGGGGCGCAGAAAAGCCAGCCCCGGGACCTCTGCTGGAGGGCACTAGGCTCCCTCCGTTCGGCTCACTTGTCTCACAAGGCCAGGATGTGGGTCCTGAGTCATGGGACAACAGCTTCTCTTCTCCCAAGTAGAGCTGGAAATGCCACTTTCTTGCCTCCTTCAGGGACAGGCAGCCTTGAGACAGGGAGGGATAGGAGTAGATAAAAGTACCAAACTCACTGAGATTTACTTGAAAAAGGTGGGAGCAGAAGAGTCTGTCAGGAGCTCCCCGAGCCTGCGAAGCCACAGTGTATAAGCTCTGGTGAGCCCCCCACACCCCCAGGTGACTGCAGTGCCTCACAATTTCCCACGCCATTTTTCTACCCCGACCACTGCCGCATGCGCCTCTCTGCCCTCACCTCTCTCCTGACTCCTGGGCTCGCACAGCCACCTGCTTGCTCAACATCTCTACCTGGCCTCGAGGAGGCACCTCAGACTTCTGTGCCAGAAACGGAACTCCAGCCCTTCCCGAAGTGACTCCGTCCTTCCAGTTGTTCAAGCCCAAACTCCACAGTCATCCTTGCTTTTCTTTCTCAGACTCCCACATTCAAATCTGTTAGGGTAATTTCTTGGCCTTACCTTCAAAATACGGGTAGAATCTGACCACTTCCACTGTCTCTACTGCAGCTGCCCTGTTGGACCCCCAGTAGCTCTCATCAAGACTACTGCAGCAGCTTCCTAACTGACCTCCCCCACAGTCTGAGATCCTTGAGAAAGTTCCGGTATGTCCCTCCTCCGTTCCACACCCTCCCATGACTCCCACCTCACCCAATTAAAAGCCAGTTCTGAAAGCTGACTGCAGGGTCCTACCTGACCTGACCTCAGCCTCCCTCCCACTGCCTCCCTCAGCCACAACCCTACTCACCTCTGTGTTGTTCCTCAGGGCCTCTGCACTGGCAGCTCCCTTTCCAGAATGCTCTTCCCCAGATATCCACATGGCTCACTTGCTCACTTCCTGCAAGTCTCTTGTCAAATGGCTCCTCAGTGATGTCTACCCTGATCACCCTATTTAAAACTGAAACTTCCATCTTTCACCCTGGATCTTCCCCCTCCTTGGTCCCCTTGCCCCAACAATAGCATCTGCATCTTTAATACACTGTAAATGATTCATTTATATATTACGTTCATTGTGTTTCCCCACCCCGGCTAACACAAAGGCTTCCAAAAGGCAGATGTTTCGTTTGGTCTGTTCACTGAGGTATCCCAAGCACCCAGAATGTATCTGGCATATACAGGTACTAAATAAATACTTGTTGAGTAAATGAATGGTACATTGTTCATAAAAGAGCAAGAGTTGAGACACGGGTATTGTCTGCGGAAGGCAGCTAGTTCAAATACACAAGGAAAAAAATCTCTCTTACACACTAATTTTAAATGAATAGTCCCTTTATGTTCAAGTACATGGAGAAACCGGAACCGGTTAAACAAAGTAACCACCCAGGAACAGTCCTTAGAAGCACTGCTGCCCTTGATAAATAAAAGAATAATTTAAAATACCATTTACTTCACTGTAACGATGTCTGTAAACCACAGACAGAAAACATACCCGTCTACAGGGAGCTGGTTACGTTCCATGGTTATGTCCACACAGTGGGACGTGAGGAAAGCATAAGGAGGGCTGGAGAAGCTCCTAACACACACATATGGAATGATCACCAAAATACACTGATAAAGGAAAAAAGGAAGGGAAAACAGTTTGCGATTTGCTACTTGCGTTTAAAACAAGGAGGAAACCGTGTGTCCGGGAGGATACACAAGAGACCGGTGACACTGACTGCTTGAGAGGCAGGGAAGTGGGTGACAGGGAACAAAGATGGGGAAGAACGGTTGCCGTGCATTTCTTTCTACGTTGTGAATTCTGAAACATAGGATTGTATTTGCCATTCAAGAGGATAACGTGAACAAGTCCAATCAACTGTATATCAATTGTTGCTAGGATCCTTTTCTTGAGGTCTTTGTATTTATTTCTTTACTTTTAATAGAGGAGCAGGTGGTGGTACAGCCTAAAACAGTGGGAGGCTGGGGGAGGGAGCCGCCAGCCAGGCACCCGATCGATGCACGCTGCTGAGATAGCCTCTCCTATTCCTGCTTGTACTTGTGAGGAAACAGACTCAGATGTTAGGGACTGCGACCCAGGTCACATCATCTGGAAAGCAGTGTCGTCTGGACTGGAGGCCGGGCCAGCGTGACTCTGAGGGTCAGCTCTTGCTATTCTCTGCCGTCTGGCTTGGCCTCTTGGTACCCTGGAGTCCTATTGCAGCTCCCGTGTTCCTGGCGTGCCACGACCTCACCTAAGTCACCGCCCGCGGTGACCCATCACACATCTGCAGGCCTGTTAACTACTTGGTCCTTAGAAAGGGATGGTTTTGCTTAGAAGATGCCTCCTGTTCATCAGGTGAACCTCATCTGAGTCCAGGACCCAATCACCCTATCTCAGACCAAATTAACTGAGTCCCAAACAGAAGTGCAGAATAACAAGTTCCTCTGCTTTAGGTAAAGCCATGGGCTTGCAGCCCTAATTCGGAAAGGAATAATCCCACATTAAAGAGACGTGTGTTCAAGCAAGGAGGCCCGTCAGCAAATAACGGAAGACAGCACAGGCTGTGCGCCACCTGCATACTGGGGCTGCTGGCTGCCACCTGCAGCATGGAACCTTGGAGAACACGTGGAATGCTTGGTCCAACGACCACCACTAAGGCATCCTTTGCTTCAAAGCCAGGGCCGGCCTTAAAGGATGGATGAATATGGTAAGCGGACCACAGGGTCCTTAAAGGCATTCAAATTTCTAGCAGTTCTGTGGCTGTACTTGGCACTTTCTCGCAAAGATGCAGGGACATGAGTGGGGTCTTATCCTCGCATGTGCTGAGTACAACACCTTGATACCCAGAAGAGAACATCCACAAGCTCTGACGAGCACGTCTCACCCGCCTTGGTCTCTGTGCCTATGCACTCGATCTCCTCCCCTGGGAGTGAAATGCCCCTATCAAGGCCAACCCCTCCACCATGCCCTGGCCCCTAGATCCCTTATCTCTCACCTACCAAAGAACATCAATCCAAAATGTTTCTGTCTCTCCTGCATCCACTTTTCCTCTCTACCAGATCATCCCATCAGCATACTGACATCCTGTTATTTCTTTTATCTTAAAGAAACAAACAAAAATAAAAACGCCTCTCTTAACCCCTTAACGTTCCCCCTTTGGCCACTGCTCCATTTTTCTCCTTCCCTTTACAGCAAAGTTCCTTGAAACAATTGTCTATATAAGTGCTGTCCAACGGAACTTTCTGCAATGACAACTGTTCATTCGCATCTGCACTGCCCCGTATGGTAGCCACTAGCCATGGGTGGCTATTTGAAAAGCGGCCACTGTGACTAAGAAACTGAATTTTTAGTATCTCAATTACATTAGTTTCGGTTTATTTTTTAAAGATTTTGTTTTTAAGTAATCTCTACACCCAACGTGGGGCTCAAACTCACAACCCCAAGATCAAGAGTCACACACTGCATTGACTGAGCCCACCAGGCACCCCTAATTTCAGTTTAAATAGACCCATGTGGCTACTGCAACGGACAGCACATGTCTATACTTACGGAGTCCAGTTCCTCTTCTTTTTATCCTTACCCATTCCCAAGGAGCTCACCCAGTCTCATGGTTTTAAACATAATCTACATGTTGATGACTCTCAGATTTGCATCTCTACCCCTAACAGCTTCTCGAACTCCCAACTCATACATCCATCTCTCCACCTGACATCACCACCGGATGTCTAATAAGCATCTCAGGCTACCCTGTTTCACTGGAATTCCTGCCTCTCCCGCCAGCCACCTGGCCCACTCAGGGCTTCCCTATCTTGGCTGAAGGCAACTCCATCTTTCCTGTTGTTCAGGCAGAATGTCTTGCATTCCTCTTTGGCGCTCTCTTTCTCTCACAACTCATACCCACTCCATCGCTTGGCTCTGCTCTGAAAGTAATCTAAAATCTGACCAAATAATCTATCTGACCATGACTCATCGTCTTTGCTTCTACTACCACCCCTCAGTTTACTGCAGAGCCTCCTAAGTGGTCTCTCTTGCTTCTGCCCTTACCTTCTGCGGTCCACTCTCAACAGAGCAACCTGCCTGATGTTGTTAACAAACCTGCATCAGCCCCTGACCCTCCTCTGCTCAGCATTCCCAGTGGCTCCCACCTTACTGAGAAAAAACCCAGTAGTTAATACAACCTTTAAGATGTGACTGCCCAGGAGCTCCCCCTTCTTCATGCTACCTTGATGGCCTTGAGGTGCCTCAACACAACAGCTCCCACCTCAGGGCCTTTGCATCTCCTGTGCCCTCCGCAAGGAATGCTCTACCCCCAGCTTGTACAAGCCTTATCCCCTTCAGGTCTTCCCTCAGATGTTACCTTCTCAGGTGCCCTATCCAGTACCACGTCCGCTCACACCCCTACTACTTCCTATCTTCATCCAGTACCACGTCCGCTCACACCCCTACTACTTCCTATCTTCATCCAGT